AGCACTCTCCCCACCAAGAAGAAACCCCAGCTCACACAAGAATCTGCAGGGCACAATCTGGATGTTTCAGGGCCTCACAGAGCACAACCATCCCACTGTGGTCCAGGGTGTTCAAGACCAGGTTTAGCTTCCGCAGGGTCTTACTGCTGGTGAGAACAGAAGAGAGATCCTTGCAGCAGGCACTGGTTAACTCACATGCTTCCAACCTGCAATAAAAAGACACACAGTAGGAAGCAGCCCCAACCTCGGGGCAGAGGTCGGATGTGAGCTGGACATTTAGCCAAGGCTCACCCCACAGCCTCTGAGTACAGGATCTCACAGTCCAGGGTGTATGGCATCAGATTATTCCTCTGTTTAGATGGTAAAAGCAGCCCCAACTATCAGTTCTTCTCTGTGGTCATTCCCATTCCACTAAGAGTTACAGTCTATTTCCCAGCCTTGAATCTGGGCTGCCCTCGTACCTTGCTTTGGATAATATAACACAATGGAAGCAAGACGATGTGAGTTCTGAGCCTACATCTCAGATGCTTTCTATGCTTCTTGATCTCTAGAACCTCTGAGATGCTGCGATGGGCTGAACTGTGCTGCCCTCCCATTCATATGTTGAAATTCTACCCTCCAAATGGGACCATATTTGAAGATGGAATCTTTACAAGATAATTAAATTAAAATGAGGACATTAGTGTGGCCCTCCCCCACTATGATGGTGAATTAGAAAAGGAGGAAGTGTACACATGTATACGCAGAGGGAAGACAACATGAAAACACAGGGAGAAGGCAGACGGCTGTCTGCAAGCCAAGGAGAGGCTCCAAACACATCCTTCGCTCAAGGCCCTCAGAAGGTATCATCCCGGCTGACACCTTGATCTTGGACTTCCAGCCTCAGAACCATGAGACAACATATTTATGTGTAAGCCACCCAGTCTGTGATACTTTGTTATGGCAGCTGTAGCAAACTGATACAGATGCCATGTCAACGAGCCCAATTAGATGAGACATGGCCCAGTCACACCTGTCATCCCCAGGTGACAGCCAGTCAACCTCTATATGCGATGGTGAGGCCAGCCCAGACCAGCCAATCACCCACATACCCACAGCTTCCTGAGCACGTCCAGCCAAGGTCAGCGATGCCTGGCCTAGCCCAGGTCAGCCGGTAATCACAAGTGCTCACTGTCTTAAGCCTAAATTTTAGAGTGGTTCATTATGCAACAACAGCTAACTGCTATGTTGCTCCTGGTGGAGTTTTTTGATTTCTCTTTCTGCCCATCAATTCTTCATCCTTTGCCATTCGTGAAGACATAACCATGACCTTGGCGATACCCACCCAAGTTTCTCCAAGCGGCAATTGGGATGTGTCAGAGCTTCACACAACACCTTCACGCCCACATCTCCTATATCGTTGTACCCAATCTGCAGATTTTTCAGGTTTTGATTGCTGGTAAGAACAGAGGCGAGGTCTTGACAGCCGGCAGCAGTGAAAAAACATTTTACCAAACTGCAAAAGAATAGTCGTGATACCACTCTCAGGGGTTACTACATCCTGGTTGGATATCATGAAAGAAAAGATGCCAAAACAAGACAGACTTTATCATCCATATGGATAGGTACCTTTAGCCCTCCACATTCATGGATTCAACTAACCGCAGACTGAAAATAATCAGGAAAGAAATAATACGATAAAAAAACAATACAAGTTAAAAAATGAATACAACTTTTTACATAACATTAACATTGTATTAGGTATTATAAGTAATCCAGAGATCATTTAAAGTATATGGAGGATGTGTGTAGGTTATACGCAAACACTATATCATTTTATAAAGGACTTGAGCATCTGGGGATTTTGGTATCTGCAGGTGGTCCTGGAACCAACCCTCCTCAGATCCTGAGGGACAACTGTAATTGTCTTAGCATCATTTGCTGAAGGCCTGTCCTTTCCCTGTTCCATCTGTGACATGGCTTTCCATGATGCAACATCTGAACACATGTAGATGGATCTGTTTCTGAGATCCCTATTCTGTGTCTCTGGCCTATTTGCTTATCCCTGTATGAACCTCATATTGCTTTGTAATTTCTAAAACTTTAAAATGCCCTGATATATTTAGAGCAAG